AACTGCCTCCCCACCCGCCTTCCTGTCCTCCATGCCAGAAGTCACATCGAGGTTAGTGTTCTCTCTCTTCGTACTGTACTTTGTGTCATATTTTTGTGGTTTAAAAAAAAACACACATTTGGTTCAGAACGGATTAACCGTAATTACATTGAACCTTATGGGAAAATTTGATTCTGGTCGCGACCAATTCAGGTCGCAACCAGAGTCACGGAACGAATTAAGTTCGTGAACCAAGGTACCACTGTAATTTTATCTCCTTCTCTTAAAACACAACAAATGATCTCTTCTTCCCATATCCCATCTCTTATCTATAAACAAATCTTTAAAGCCTGGTCATTCAGTCCTGGTCAGCAAAGGTCCATTAAGAGTTTCCAGAGATAACAACGTATCTATTTTACCTTGATGAAATAAACCAACTTTATATTTCTCCCTTTTACTTTTAACAATCTTGATCTTTAATCTTTAATTGTAATCTTTAGTTCCTTCTGGTTCGCTCTAGTGTCTAACCTTCAAAGTCCCATCCTATCATGTGTTTTTTTTTAAGAATTCAGAGCAACAGCATTTTCCCATGGGAAGGATTCTTATAATTAATTTCAAAATCTTATTTTAAACCCATCTGGATCCTTTGTTTGTAACTTCCAAAATCAACCTTCTAGTCACCCTTTTACTGTTTATTCCAAAAAACCCATTTTTAAAAAACTCTTTAAACCTGTATTTAAACCTTCTTTCACTAAGGATTGAAGGAGATTCACCAGTGCACTAAAACATGCCATTGCAAAGATTTCTAATAGTTAAATAGCAATTAAAAAGCAATTTCCAAAAATCATTAAGAAATGAGAGGCTGGGAGTTGAGGGATTTCAACCAAGCTCACAGTCACAATGTAGCCTATACGGATATAAAGTTCACCAAGCAATTGCATCACGATTGAAAGCTCCAAATAGGAAGTGCTTAAGCGGAATGCTAAGACTGAGCAAAATATTGGAAGGAGGCGCTCTGCAAAGCAAGGGTACTGCTTTGACAATAAATCATCTTTCTTTGATGCATTAAAGGAACTGAGTCCGTTGCAAGGTCCAGTCAACCATTCTGAAAGTTGTCTACGGCTACCTCTGTTATGTGTGTGTGTGCACAACCCTCTGCTTTGCTGGCATGCTCAGAGATATGTTGTCTGTGTATGCACACACAGAGAGGCAACCAGGGAGAGCCTTCAAAGCATTTGCACAAACCTTGCAAAGGATGTGGCTGCTTTAATGCTTCAAGGAGATGTGCTTCATATTCATAAACACACTTGTGCAAAGTACTCCTTTCAAAAGTGTGTACACCCCTATAGAACAGCCTCCCAAGAAGCCCTGTTATAATTCAAACTCAGTTTTAAATTCTACAAAACTTTAAGAACCATTTCAGCAGAGCTAAGCTGATTCAAAACAATATTATGAGAGGCCCAATTTATCTTTAAAAAAAGAGATTAGAAAGCAAGAAAGAAAATGAGCATTAAGTGAAAGTACTGAAACTGTTTCCCGCAAACAATACCTGCCAAGTTTTGTCCCAAAGAAGACCTTAATTCAGAAAGTCCTTACCCCAAACTACTATATGACTGAAACTAAGCAAATTGCCAAAAATAGACCTGAAAGGTTCAAGTAATTAAGTTCACCTTTCCCCAAAGGAAACTATTATTTATGCAGGGAGAATCTCAAAGAATGATTCTGCCAAAAATGTTTTATATAGCTTTTAAACAAACAAGATGAGGGACTTGAAATATACAACTCAAAAGCATGCGTCACCACCATGCTTATGACAATCAACTGGACCAGCTAATTTTCCCTGTCCTATGGTCTGTAAAAATGTGGTACGAATCCTCGGTTTGGCTTCCCATATGGGCAGTGCTGGTGAGCAGCAGAAAACCAAGGCTTTTGCCCTCTGTCACCCTGAGGTCCTGTTCCAGAGTTCAAATTACATTGAAGAGGCTGCTTCTCACACTTCTGAGAGGACCCATCCCACCTGCTAGCAAAGAGGGGCACTTCAATGGTGCCCTATCAAAGTCTTTCTCCCTAATTCTAGAAAAGCCCCTATACACCAGTGTCAAAATGCACAGAATGCCATAACTTTCTATAACATTAGTATCCCCTCCTCCCCCAAAACATGAGAACAGATGACTCAACAGATTAGGGTTGTGCATATACTTCAAAAGAGGTGCTCCAAAGAGGCAGTAGTGGGATTCGTTCATCATTAAAGCAACTGCAACTTTTTCCAGGCTCATGCAAGTGCTTCAGAAGCTGCTCCCCACTGTCTCTGGATATGGTCAGCTACGGAGACAGCGGGGAACAGCTTCTAAAGCAACCAGGTGAACCTGGAAAAAGATGAAGCTGCTTTAATGATTCAAAAATAGGTGTTTCATATGTGCTCCCCTGCATTTTGAATTACCTCTTTTGAAGGATGTAGACATTTTCATAGATGTGTGCAACCTGAGATCTGAAGGCCATAAACACCTCCCCAATCTTTATTTTGTGACCTTCGGAAATCCTTCTGACATTGTAGTTCTTGCTACTTTCAACAGGAAACACAAAACTGCAGAGCCTAGCCTGGAAAATCTTTATCATGCCCTACCCAGTTTTCAACCAAGTCCTATCTTACCCTCATTTCAAAGCAAGCCTGATATACAAGCAACTGCATTCGCACACACACATTTAAACAAGATGTAGCAGATACACTTGAACAGCCAGCTAAGCATGGTCAATGTTCGTCTCAGATTATTTTCTGTCTCTTAGTGCATTTTGCAAACCCAATTTATTTACCTAGTTTACGGTTCAAGTTATTGTGCAAATCCAGAAAGTGGTCTCATTCAGTAGAGAAGTTAATTGTGCTTTTCAATCCCCAGCTATTCTGAAGGAGCAGTGAAGCTGTGCAAAATCTGAGAGCCATCAAGGAATCTCTTGTAATGCCACAATGCTGTCATTATTCTGAAATCTATTTGGAAGAGTTGAAGCCAAGCACTCTCTCAACTCAACAAGGGACACAAGGCACATCTTCCCAAACAAGTATCACAATGGTTTCTTGGACCAGCATCATTTCCAACTTGAACATGGGTGACCACAGGGAGAGCAAGTGATGTCACAAGTCATGACATCATGCAAATGGCATGAATCATATGACACAACTGATTAAAATTGTATAATTTGCCTCATTTGTGTGATGCTATCATAACATATGTGACATCACCATGATTCTTCCAGATGCTAATGCATCTTATTGCAATTTTGCAACATACTGGAGATCAAACCATGTGAAATGACACTGTCTGGGAAAGTACTTCACATTATGCCAAGTGCACTAATAGACTTTATCATTGTAGCCCATCGGCTGCTTAAAATCAAGTCATTATCATAAAATAAAGCCTCAAAGATAAACAGTAGAACAGATGGTGCTTTTTTCCCCATCAAATGTAAACAAGTCTCAGAGTATACTTTAAACAAATGAGTATTCTGTAATAGCCAGTAAATTGACCTACTGCCTGAAAACAGAAATCAGATGCCCAGTCAGCAAAACACTTAAAGAGCGTTCCGATGTAAAGGCAAACCATGATCAAGTGTTATGAATTAATTCCATATTATCTGCATGAGCAGCTATGACCTGAAATGGACTTTCCTCATCTTCCCATCTGCTCCTGCCTTGTGATCTTAAAATGCAAGCAAACTGCAATTTGAACTATCTATTGTTCATTGTATCTAAATCTAATAGGAAGTGTGGTCTGCCCACATCTCAGAACTGAGAGTTCACATCACGTGCTAAGAAAAGTGAGGAGAAAGGGAAGATGCTAAAACCAGCGTGTCATGACTGTCTGCGCTCATCGTATCAATTCATGGTTCAGTCTTTCACGTGAAGGTATTCACAGCCATCTGGTAAAAGCCATAATGCCGTGTGTGGTCATCCCGTCATCATGCAAATGACATAATTCATGACATGAATGACATCATAACACATGTGACATTCTTCACCTCCCATATGAATACACTGTAATGCTTTACCCTTATTACTAAATTCTGTATTTATGATTGATGTAACTATTATTTAATTGTTGCGTTAGCTTTCTCCAATCTGATTCCCTCCAGTTATTCTGGACGGTGAATCCATCACTCCAAAATAGAAATCCATGGCTAGTTTTACAAAAGCTCATAGAAGTTGCTATCCAGAGGGTACCAAATTGGGAAAAACTACTTCAGAAAAAAATCCATCACATATTCATAGAACCATCAGTAACTTTTTCTCCTAGAACTTCCTTCCAACCTACACCTGTGCTTTTGATATATGACCCTTTAAGAATAGTAACAAAAGAATTTCTGAACACAGTTATTAAGATGGATTTAATCAGTCTTGGATACATTTAAATCTCTCCAGTACTGTATTATGGAAGTTCTGAACACTACAGCAGTGTTTTTCAAACTTGGCAACCTTAAGATGTGTGGACTTCAACTCCCAGAATTCCTCAGCCAGCACAAGGGTGTTAATTGCAGTTACATCCCCTCACCTTAAATTCCTTATGATTTTTAACAAAACAAGAAAAAACACAGTGATTTCTCTTCAGGCCACAAAATCAAGTACTGGCTTGAAAGAGAAGCCAAAATCAAAAGACACCAGCTAGATTTATCTTCACTGGATACAGAAGAGAGTGCCAAGTTGTTTCTTCACAGTCTATATGGCAGTCTGTTTGGGGCAGCAACCAAATATTATATGGAAATAATACTTAGGTAATTAATTATCTTGTCAAACACAACTAAACCAGGGCTGAGCAGTATCTGAGAGGTAAGAAGTCACAATTCAGCATCCTGAATTTTTTCAACCTGCTTTTTCAGTCTGAGGTAGACAGTAAGGAAGAATAGGAGAGGGCACAGAAAATTTATTGGGCCAATTTCAGGCCAATTTGGGAGGGGGGGGTAAGGGGAAGGATGAGAGTAATTTGCCTCCCAGGAGCCTTCTGCTTCTATTCCCACCCTGAATTTGATGTTTTGTTTTGTTTTAAGAAAGGGAAAAAAACCACATCACCAAAGATTCAAACATGTTGTTGTCCTGTTTCAGCAGCATGAACTCAGCGCACCTGAAGGGCAATATTCAGAGTGTACCAAAAGCCAGCCCCCTTGGACAATTTATTACATTAATTACTTTAAACGTTCAAATTGGTTCCCATTTTCTTCTAAACACTTCCTTGTAATTGACCTATGGGGCCTGACTTTTGGTATACCCTGTATATAATATATACTAATGGTCACATTATCAGGAGATACCTAAATTTGAAAGATCTTGTGGGATTTGGGGCATTTTTGTTTTACCTTTTCTATTTAATTCTTAAAATACACACATAGGTGTACACACACACAATATTATGTGATATCCTGCAGGAGTGCCTGGTGGCTGGGGGAGCTATAGGAGAACAAAGAGAAGGAAGTTCTGTGCCACCAACTCAACCATCTGGATGGAGCACAAATGAGAAGCTAATTCTTGTTGAACTTCCTCTGGCTGGGTTTCTCTCTTGCCTGGATTCTAATTAAACTGTGCCTGAGTTGAATATATATATACTGCAAATTATGTATTCTCTTTATCTTCTACTTACATTTTGATATAACACACTCTATTGGATGGGAGATTTTTTTACTATGCTACAAACCTTATGTACTACTTCTTACAGTTTTGTCCCCACTAGGATCCCTATGACCACATGTGGAGTCATCAGATCTCATTATATTGGAAGGAACAATACTGAATTTGTTTTGTTTTAGGAAACCATCTTCATTAACAATTATAACAGCACATCATAGGAGTGATAACCCTTACCTGACCCATCAGGAATAGACCTTACAAAGGTAGGCAGCATTTTTACACTGGCTGTTGGGTTAAAATCCCTAGAGAGGCCATTCTTCATTTCATTCCGGAAGCGACCCATAATATCCAGCAAAGTTTCATCCGACAGCCGCATGGCATATAGATATTTATCAATCTATAGAAGAGGCAGAGAGAAACACAGAAAGTTCAGATCTTGTATGATTTTGTTTCTGAATATAAGTATAAAGTTGCTTAATCTTTAAAAATGCTGATGTATGTTATGCTCCAACAAAAACACTTAGAGCAGGTAATATTAATTATAAATCTCCAATTCCATCATGTAAACACTTTTATCCCCTACCCCAGGAAAAAAAACACAACATACAAACAAGATCACCTTGGGCTCAGACATTCCTGAGTTGAGAAGCAGCAACTCAAAATTATTCTGTTTGCATATCTATCTGAATGATACAGGGGTAATAAAGTAGAGAGGTTCTCAGCTGAACATAAATGAAAGGAGGCATATCTTTACTGGTTTTAAGAAGTTCAAATTTCACTGACCAACACCACCTTAAACTGAGCCCAGAAAGCAACAAGTAGGCAAGAAACACACATGACCACTAGTAAAACTTATCCCCAATCAGAAGACAGAATTGAACACAATGGTGTAGCTCAATTTTTTTTTAACAGACGTTTTACAGACCAAAGCCAGACCAGTGTTCCTTCTAGCTTAGTATGACAATCCAACTGCAACTAGATTACAAAGCTTTTGATAAGATCTATCACCTGTTACCTAATCCTTTTTACTGAAGATACTGGTTAACCTGAGATATTCACCTGCAGAGCACATTCTACCATGGTTCCCCTTCCATTAATCAAAGGCAGCTCTATATGAAGCATGCTAATATATAAACACCCAGGCATGTTTAGAAGAAAACCATGAAATTATGGAAAGAAAAATGCAAGACCAATTTTCCATGTGCAGACATCACCATATCTCTTAACTCTTGTTGGAAATGTCACTCTAACCTTTCCCACAACAAATATGTAAGGAGAGGTGTTTCCTGGTCAATGCACAAGGTGTGAGAGTATGATCTCCTGCTATACTCATGTGTAGAACTATCCTGATTCATGGAGAGATTTGGAATCATATATTATATGATCAAAAGTAGTTTCCCCTAAATGATTTATACTTAATTCCCTCTAAGTATTTTTGATGTCAACTCACATCAATCTCAAGTGGCAAGACAAATGTCAAGGATTTGTCAGAGTACAGTATGACCCAAAATATATGGAGGGAACCAAACTGCACATCCTTCATAGATATGATTAAGCAGTTAAGGTAATAAAAGGTAGCATTCTGTGCAGTCCAGCAGCTAGAGATGAAGTAAGCCATATTAATGCTATTTGCTATTACTACAGTAGATCACTGAAACACAGTAATTGAAGATTCCATTTTAATCTTGGACAAAACATATTAATGGCCAAGTCTTTTTCTTATTTTCTTATGTGAATCCAACTGCTTCAGCCCAGCCTTCTCAGCATTTTTTAAACTTTCTTCTATCCATTATTATGATCCAGGGGAACAAAAGTGGTCCTGGAGTTGCACCTTCCACAGCGTATCAAATCCCTTCTTAACTGTTCAGATAGACATAGGTAAAACCTACTAACCCTGACCAATATTTCAAACAATAAAAATCCACATCTAAATGAGAAAAAAAGGATCATATAAAAGAACTTTAATCTCCTACCAACTTTCTACAAGCAATATCCCTGTTTTAGACATTTGATGTCCTGTTGTTCAGTCTAATATTCCCACCCAACAAATATCTACTTTTTTAAAAAAACATGTTTTTATTTAAGTAAAACTCTGTAGTTCTTCTTTCTTCCATGGTTCCCAAAGCCTCTTTAGCAGTCTGCCATCAGACAATCAAATCAAATCAAATCAAATCAAATCAAATCAAATCAAATCCAGACCCACTTAGTTTTATCAGTTCTTCTCTGTTTAGTGCTTTCAGTCCCATGACACAGCAAACAGGAAATCAATAAAAGCAGAGTAAAACCAAGAGATCTATGATTCCTTTGAAAATTTAAATGGGCTGAAAAGGAAAACCTCTTAGAGAAGAAATTGAGAACACCCTCACAGAGAAGGCCCTTCCTTCAATATAGGGAAAAGAGCTCTAGGATGTACTCCAGAACGAGAATAAGATAGCTCTTGAGAAACTGAAGTTGTAATTTGTAATAATTAACAGTACTCAAAAATGGACCAGGAGCCCAAGAGTCTGTTCTAAATCTGGGAAGTGATACAAGGATTTGGAGGGGGCAGTAGGAGGACAGGACCGGGACCAGGACCAGGACCATACTTTCCCAAGTTTGCTCTGCCAATCTGAAGTTTGCTTCCCTACAATCCTATTTATATTAGGCTAAGTAATTGCTTTTAAGGCGTTAACAAAATGATTTTCATTACCACGGGTGCAGAGATCAAGATGCAGAGGCCCACTAATGGACCTGCACTTCAGCAGGGCTACCTGCCGTCAAAGATTGAGAAAAGATTTTGCTATCACAGCACTGTACCCCAAATGCAGCACCTGACATCTCTCCCAGAAATGAGTAGAGGCCATATGCTGGCACAGAAAGCAGAGAAGGGTTAGGCCAACTAGTCCCAAGCCCTTAATAGTGATGCCATTCATGATGGATCAGTCTGCAAAACATCTGTCCTGGATTCTGTTTTGGCAACAGAACTCAAGGGATGATACAGACGCTTAGCTACTTTAAGTTAAATTCAAGAGGTGCTACCAGGTTCCTGAGTTCATAGGAAGAGAATTCCATTCATTCTTCGCCACAAATGTGTAAGAGAATGGAATTCTCTGTTTTAATTTATCTGGGGCAGAATATGGCACTTGAAAGTACTATGCAACCTTTTGCACGATCAGCCCAGTTTCAATCTTGAGGAATGTAAAATTACAGAGGCATCAATGGAAGCATATTTTGTGGAGTCCTTGGGGTTCTGTGAACTTGGTTGTTTTCTTGCAAACGTTTCATTACCTGGCTAGGTACATCTTCAGTCCGCTGCAGATGTTACCTAGCCGGGTAACGAAACGTTTGCAAGAAAACAACCAAGCTCGCAGAACCCCAAGGACTCCACAGTTCAACCTTGAGCTACAGATATTCTCTTCTATTAGAAGCATATTTTACATGGGCAGCAAGCTTGACATTTTTGCAATTATCAACATTAGCTACATCATCTTAGGCCAAATAAACCTGTCATCAAATTTATTCCCAACTACTCTTACAGAGGGATAGAACTGAAACTACAAACCCTGAAGCAGACACAACTAAAAACATTGTATTCTTTCTTCTCTTCCTTCTTTCTGGAATGTATATCCACCTTAATGAAGAATTATTAGGAACGTGAAAGCTTGCATACCATTAAATTAACTTTTTGTTAACTTAATAAAAGAGCAGCCTTTGTGTGGATTCTTTTTTGCATAGTCCACATCATCAATTGATTCTCTTTCAATCCAATCAGGAGGCACAAACAATTAAATGATTGTTTTAAAATGAAGGCACCTTTGCAACTAAATCATGACAACTGATTTACACCCAAAATAGAAAAAGATGGATTTTGTTTTTAATGAAATGGCATCTCTTTCTCGAACAATTCAGCCATGCCACTGAGAAGAGGCTAATTTAAACTGTTGGTCATATTATACCAGCACAAGGAGATATCCAGTTGTCTAAGGTCCTAGGAATTTGACACGCTTGAGAACAGGAAAGATTTTTGCCTGGTGTTCAATACAAGATTTTAGCAACTTTCAGAAATTTAAGTTGTCCTGAGCACATTTTGAGGGTTGGGTGAGAGACCTCAAACTTAAGAAAACTGAGAGGGCAGGGAGAGAAAAGGAAAAAACCCCTCCAAGTTTGCAATATTCTCAATTCTTTCCAATGTTCCATGAAAATGATTGAGCCTATCAGAAATGGGAGCCTATCAGAAAATCCCATAGCTGTAAGCTAGATTGGAAAGTTTAAAAAAAAAATCAAGGCCATGGCAAACTTTATTCTGTATTGTTGCCAAGAAAACAACAAGGACATCTCCATGAAGTCACTAGGAATCAACTTATACCTTTGCCACATAAGTAGCCAACAGAATCAGTGGGTACAGCTTTCCTGAAGATGATGTTGGTCATTTAGGATTTAAGTTGAGTAACTTGCTGTTGCACAGCTAAAATTAGAGAAGGCTGTGTGACTCACATTTCTTTATTCTGCCACAGGAACCTCACTGGGCCTTCCTCTGGTACAGGTGCAACCACCAGATAAGGCAGTGACTTGACTCTGTACTAGAGGCAAAAAGAGTTGGAAGTTTGTAGTGTATCAGCTTACATATCATGTCTACCATCTCTGAATGCAGGGAGAAATGGAAGACTAACTGGTATTAATTAGTTACAGCCAATAATGACCCACTGGATTTTTGTTGTGCACTGGTGGATGAATTTCTAAATATAATTGGTTTGAAGAAACAATATTTGCTTGGCAAAGGCACACATTTTTGCTACAGCTTGGAACGCTTTATTAACACAATTAAAATTCAAGTAATTGTCTAGATGGGCCAGGATCTGAAGTCCTTGCAGAGAAGAATCCTGAAAAAAGATGCTTTTTAAAGCAAGTCTTGATCACTACAAGAGGATAACTAGGATAACTTTATTTATTTGTACGCCACATCCATTATGAAAATCTTTAAGTGGCGTACGGTAGAATGAGTTCAAAACAGATTTTATTTTAAATTGTTATTTTTTGGCATCAAATATACAGGATTAAACTTAGAAAATTAAGGACAGGAGGTATGCAAGCAAGATTTGACCTGAGAAAACAGAATCAGAATACAAGATCAATGTAAGGAACAAATTCAGTATTCTTAACTCATGCAAAAAAGAGTCCAGGATCTTAGGGAAAGATAGGAGACATCATTAAAACCAAAGTGGAAAAATATTCCACAAATTTCAAAGAAGAAAAGATGAAAGTCTTACAGAACAAGCTATCTTGATAGTCAAAGAAAGATAGGAGATGAAAGCCTTGGGCAACAAGAAGAATTTACAATG